CTACGGTTTAAGAAAACTATTCTGGCTGCAGACTGAAGAAGGGAGCATTTATAATGAGTCCAAATATGGAGATAATATGTTACTTTCCAAAGAGGGATCATTAAGACCAGGTACTGGTCTTAAAAATAATGAGGCTGAAAAACATATAGATATGATAAATAATGTACAAAAACATTTATGTAACTTGGTCACTGAAAAGTGAGGAAAATTCAATTGATTTTTTAATATTAAACATCTATAGAAAATTGTTTGTTATCAGAATTCAATGTTGTACCTGATCAATCTCCAGAGCCTACAGTCAGGGAGGCAGGGCCTCAGTAAATACTTATAATCAAAGGAATAACTAAGGATAACACAGTTTTAAGTTGGAGGGAATGAAAAAACATAAAAAGGCAAAGTTTATGAGCATTACTGATACTACATGTTAATTTTAGATCTCTTATGTATTCAAGGAATGTGGGAGCCACAGAATCTGGAATTAGGGATGTGGCTATTAACAACTAGAACACCTTCAAGCTCTTAAAGACCAATAGATTGTCTGATTATACTATTGTATTAGTTCATTGCTTGAAGAGCAGGTTCTCATCTGTCAAACCTTCATGTCTTTTGATGTAACTTAAAACTCTTCTCTTTTTCTAAGCTTTTCTGGTGGGGAATGCTTCCTATCACTCTAAACTTCATATAAGGTCTTCAACTTCCCATTTGTTCATTAAAATAACATCTAGGCAATTCAAATATTTAAAAAAATGGTTAACTTTGATTATAGTGTGAATGACTAACTTAAGATGTTATTTCTTACTGCAACCCTACTGAAGGTAAAATAAGGTAAATAGTAATCCAATTTCTAGAGATTCAATTTCAATCACTATAGGTGGTAGAAAAAAAAATTAAAGTCATCTTATTTTCTTCATTAACTTTTGCTGACCAAGAATAAAAGTTTAAGAACCCACATAGCCTTGGAGACCAAATATAAGGCTGAATATACAAGGCTGGGTTTAAATTGAGATTAAAACTTGGATGAACATTTTAAAGGAGAAAAAATTAAGTAATACTTTGATCTCATGAGAATAAAAAAAAATCCTTTGAAAATTCTGCTTAGGAATATAAAAATATTCTCAGCATACTTGAAAACATTCAAATGTATTTACTTCTGCCTAGTTTCAATAGAAGTTCATGAACTAAAATATATTCTGTACAAAACATAATCATCCTTTTCTAAGAATAATAAATTTTCAGAAACCAATCACTTACAAAATGGAGTTCCTGGAATTGACTGTCAAACTTTCTCAAATAGCAGGTTTATGTAGAGAAACACTTGGATCTACAATTACAATGTATCAACAGGTTGTTTGAACCAACCCCACTGTTTAAAAGAGAAAAATTTAAGAATAAAACTTTAGAACTAGAATTACCTAGAGTAATGGTTGTCAGCTTTGGCTGCACCATTAGAATTAGTTGGGATACTTTGAAACATCTAGACAACCTGGCCACACATAACATTCATTGAATCAGAAATTTCTGGTGCAGGGACCCAAGTATCAGTCCCCTGGAGGTGCCAGGAGATGCCCACATGTGAAAATGGCTGCCAAACTGAAAACTGCTGATATGAATCAAGAGTAAATAAAACTGGAAAGGCCTAATCAATGATTGGTTTAATGTACCTTCTGATGTTATATGAAAATGAAATAAAAGGATGTTATTTCAAATGAGGACAATAAAGACAATGATCTCTGATTCCAACTATTCAGTAACTTTGGCTAGGGGAAAAATCAAGATGGCGGAGAGTGAGTGAAAGTCACACTGACCTCCTCCCAGGACCAAACTGGAATTACAGCTAAATTGTGGAGAAATCACCTGGAACAAACAACTGAACAATAGTGAGAGAGGAGCCTTATAACTTCAGACAGACAGAAAAATCAGCATTAGCACAACCTAACTGGTAATAAGTGTAGAAGAGACTCAAGAAGGTGGGTGAGGGGCCCAATGGAAGTAGCACTAGAAGGATACTGAAAGGGCCAGTTGGATCCCCTGAGGAGAGCGGGGTATAAACCATAAATGGGGATCTCCAGCCTACAGCACCAGGACCCCAAAAATATACAGAGAACAACCAGCTGCAAAAAACAACAGGGTTGCTCTCTGCCAGAGACAGGCAGCTGGAGACTCAAAGAGCCTTTTAAAGGGCCAGCACATACACTTTTATTTGGAGCCACTTACCCTGGTCTCTGGCAAAGGTTGGGGTAGAGTGAGCTGGAGATGCCAGAGGAGAGACTGGGGAAGGAGTCTTTGGATAGAGAACAGAGAGAGTACCCAGAATGATCCCAGTGCTGACGCCACATGAGGCAGCAGCGATCTTGCTCAGGCAGACCACTGCCACTACGTGGCAGCAGCATGAGAGGAGACAATAGCCCCGCCCTTCAGGAGGCTCTTCACTGGCCCAGTGGTGCACAAGCCTGACTGCTAGAACAGAGTGGCAGGCACAGATAGTAGATCCCTGTCTAAAGGGGGTGCAAAGTGGTCTAGAGACACTTGAGGAGAGACTGGAGATGGAGGCTTTGGGGAGCGACCTGAGAAAGGGGCCGACAGGATCCTGGTGCTGACGCCTCCCCCATACGGTAGCAGCCATCTGGCTCAAGCAGACCACTACCCTAAGTGGCAGCAGCATGAGAGGACCCAATAATCCTACCCCAGGGGAACTCTGCCCTGCCTTGTGGTGTCTAAGCCTGACTGCTGAGCATAGAGTGACTAGATTAACAACTGAAGGAGACAGCCACAGACAAGAGATTCCTGGAAGTCTCGAACAGACTGCCTAAAGTCAGACAGTGTCCCTTACAGGGATATCATCAAAGGCAGATCCAGAAAGAAAAAGCAGTGTCTCCTACCATAGAAGTACACATCACAAAGTCAGGAAATCAAGACAGATCAACTTAAGAAGCAGAAGCAAAAAAGAAGACTCTCACAAATAATGGGAAGACAAAGAAACACACCCCAATTGAAGGGATAGGAGGAATCCCCAGAAAGAGAACTCAATGAAATAGAGGCAAGTAAATTAGCAGATACTGAGTTTAAAATAATGGTACAAAGGAAGCTCAATGAGCTCAGAGAGAATTACAAAAAACTACAGGCAAACTATGAAGAGCTTACTGCAAACTATATCAGCATGAAAAAGGACATAGAAACTATCAATAAGGGGCAAGAGGAAATGAAGAAGACAATTTCTGAATTGAAGAACACAGCAGAAGGAATCAAAAGCAGGCTGGACGAAGCTGAGGATCTAATCAGTGAGCTGGAAGACAAAGTAGAAAAAAGCTCCCAGAAAGAGCAAGAAAATGAAAAAAGACTCAAAAAGCATGAAGAGTCATTTAGGGAAACACAGGACAACCTGAAATATAATAATATCCATAGAATAGGGATACCAGGAGAAGAAGAGGAGCAAGGGATAGAGAATCTGTTTGAAAAAGTAATGATGAAAAACTTCCCTATTTTGAGGAGAGAAAAAGTCACACAAGTCCAGGAAGCACAGAGAGTCCCATTCAAGAGGAAGCCAAAGAGGCCCACTCCAAGATACACCATAGTTAAAATGGCAAATAGCAAAGATAAACAGAGAATCCTAAAGGCAGCAAAGAGAAACAGGTAGTAACATACAAGGGAGCCCTGATACAAGGCTAGCAGCTGACTTCTCAACAGAATCACTACAAGCCAGAAGGGAATGGCAAGAAATATTCCAAGTAATGGAAAGCAAAGATCTGCAACCAAGACTGCTCTACCCAGCAAGGCTCTCCATTCAAATGGAAGGCGAAATAAGGAGTTTCCCAGACAAAAGAAGGCTAGGAGAATACACCTCCACAAAACCAGCATTGCAAAATATGCTAAAGAGGCTGCTTTAAAAAGATGAAGGAAAATAGTCTATGAATACCCAGTTCGTTTCACAGTCACCAATACTTGATATTACTAAAATGTTTAATACTTAATCTGATTGTGACCATGATGTGTTATTTAATTGTTACTTTATTATTTATTGAAACTAAATCTATTTTTGTAGATTTCTTGCCTATTTCTATTATTTTAAAAAAGTTTTAAGTGACTTTGTGGTAGTCTTTATCCATTTCTTTTATTAAATGTTTGTAGAATTTTTCCCCCCAAAAAAACTCCAAAAACTATTAACCCTTTTTTAGATGTGTTGCAAATACTTTTCTATTTTATTACATGTCCTTTAATTATTTTTATATGAATATTACTATATAGTTAAATGTTTAATATGGTCATATTGGCAATATCTTCCTTTATAGCTTCTGGGTTTGAATATGTTACTTCAGGGTAAGAAAAATATTATTTTGTATTTCCTCCTAAAACTCCTTAGATTTTACCTATTCATTTTTAACTCACCTGAATTTTTTTTTGTATAATGTGTGAAATAGGGCTCTATATTTGTTTTATTTCAAGTAGTAGTGGTCCATGCACTTTATTTGTTGAATAAGCCTTATTTTCCCCTTATTTTCAAAATCTGTTGTAAACAATAATTCTTTGGAATAAAGTCACAACTACATTCAGTTATATTATGACCACCTGCAATAGTTTTTGCTTAAAAGACAATTTCAAAACTCAATCAGGTTTTAGATTGAGGTTTGACATGTCACTTTAATTATATACTACATTGTTAGAGAGATATATGCATTCGTTTCTAGAATGCTCATTTTATTTCATTGAACTACTTGATCATTTCTGTGCTTGTATATGCTATTTTAGTTGCTGAGACTTTAAAATGGATTTACATTTTTTAAATATTTTATAATGGATTTTGACATTAAAAAGTAAATAAATAGCATCAATCTGCATTTTTTAAAAAATTAAAAATTAAAAAAAAGAAGGAACTTCTAAAGAAAAAAATTGCCGTCTACTTGTGGGTTCAAGCGTCCTGTTATAATGGTCAATCGTTCTGACTCTTTTTAATATAACATGCTACTCATAAAAACATGGAGTATAAACTAATAATTAGTACTTACCAAACAAAGTAGGAAGTAAATACTAGGAAAATCATGATAAGAAAACCACCACCTGAAACACCATAAACCCAAATTTTTACTCGGCCATCTGTTTAAAATAGAGATAAAATAATAAGCTTAGCATACAAAATCTTTATGTTTCATCTGAATTCTGAGTCTTGCATAAGGCATAAACAGAAATACGCAATTTTGACAGTTTATCAAATGTAAAATGTTAGACTATCAAAAATATCACAGTATTAAACAACACCAAAATCAATAAAATCTAACTAGAAAGCTCTTTTGAATTTATTTTATGTGTATATTTTCTTATACATGTAACACAAAAATATTGTAAAACATCTTGACCACATAAATAGAACAAGAAAATAAATTATAATTAAGAAACAATCCTGCATGCAAAGAAAATTACTGTGACCATATTTGGTGACTTTGCTTCCTGAATAATGTTGAGTGAACAAAAATCTCATGAACAAATAAGCTAATCTGTTTATCAAATTACTGTAAATTTATAACCAACTATAAAATTATATCCATATGTGTACAAATATACATTATTTGTTATTTGATATTTGCCAAAATTTAAAAAAATAGATTATTCACATATTCTGATCAGTTTCGTGACTTCTATGTAAAGTATAACTTGAGTTTATGTATGCATGTTTTTCTTTATATGATAGATGTTGACTTGTTTTTGAAACTCTAGCAGTTTTTGTTCTGTTTTATATGACCATATATATATAGTTAACTAAACATAGAATTGTACTGAAATGAACTGTATTCCTTTCTGAAAGATATATACACACTAAAGTTTCATTATACTATATGAATGTAATTAACTGCAGGTGTAAAACACAGATATTAGTATCCTATTCTAAATGTTCCCATAGGGTGAAAAATAATCAAAATCTGTTGTAAACAATAATTCTTTGGAATAAAGTCACAACTACATTCAGTTATATTATGACCACCTGCAATAGTTTTTGCTTAAAAGACAATTTCAAAACTCAATCAGGTTTTAGATTGAGGTTTTAATGTACTAATATCTTTCTGTGGTCAAAATCTTTTTATAAAGCTCTGATTCTGACCTCTTTAAAACACTACTGATGAAATCCCCTATTCTGACTTTTTTACATAGATAATTTTAAAAGGCTTCCCTGAGTGAACATGCACTTTGGTCTTATTACCCCTATGCCCAACAGAGTTGAAGTATTGGGAGAATCTAGTGATTTTAAATTCCCAGTGGAAAGGTATGTGGTCCATGACTTTTAATTATGTTACTTTAAAAAAATAATATAATGTTTTATAATAACATAATGGATAAGGCCAAACATCAACTATAAAAAAAGATACGTAGTGAAAAATAAGTCTTTCTGCCACCCTATCTGCATTCCAAAGCCAGGAGCTATCAGTGGTACCGGTTTCCTTGTGAATCATTTCTTAGTCCTTTCTACAAATGAAAGCATATGAGTGTGTTCACACACACACACACACACACACAGATTTTAAAAGACATAAATGATGCATATCATGCCCTTTGATTTGTACTTATTTTCACTTAAAATATGTCTATTTTATTTTAATATATCTATGATTTATATTACATGATTGTATCATTTTGTTTTTTCATTATTCTATTTATACACATTGACATTGTTTCTGTTCATTTGCTGTATAACAAGTGATCATGTAATGAATAGCATATACCTGCTTATTTTAGTATATGTGAATATATTTGTATGATGAATTGCTAGGGCAGAAATTTTAGGTCACAGTGCTTGATCTGTATTACATAAATGCCCTCCTAGAGGTTGATTCAATTTATATTCTCATCATGAAAACAATACAGGTTTTACCCTCTTTTCCTGACTAAATATACAGGGTCTGGCAGAAGTTACTCCTGCTTCAGTGTGGTTATAAACCACGCAATAATATGGGTGCAATAATTTATAGTTTTAACTTGAACATTTCACCTGAAATATCATACGGTATGCTTGGATGTGATATTGTCATGTTACAGAATTACATGCTTATGACTTTGAAAAAAAAATGTTGTAATAAAAAAGGGGCATTATTTGTACTGGACCCTGTATAATATGTATATGCTAAGATAAATACATATATACACAATAGTTTATATATGAATGTGTATGTATATTAACATACATATTATTCATGTTTTAATGAGACCGCAAAAGGTTAAGATCTCATTTGTGGATTTGAAGACTCATTTCCCTGGAACCTCACCCTAATTCTCTTCTGAAATATGATCTATAAGCAAGAGGTGAGGCTGGCTACATTTTATGTCATGTATCTTTCAAACTTAAATAAACTGCTAACTCAGTCACAACATGGACGTTTTTAAACATCTATGGCATGCCCAGACATATGGGGGAAATCAAAAGTGAGTTAAGATATTGTGGTCATTCTTCAAAGTCGGTGACCTGGGTCGTCTTTGGGCCAGCCCTGGTTTTTGCTTTATTTAAGCATGTCATCAAGGCATTTTTGGTCAAGCAAAGGCCTAGGATTTGGAAGGAAAGTTCCCAGGATATGTTTTGCCTAAGTTTTATCCCTTTCTTCCCTCTCCCTTCCCCCTCAGTGCAGCTATGCGCAGGCATTAGTAGCATTAGTAGCATTAGTAGCATTAGTAGCCTTTTGTTTCTTAAAAGAGGTCTGTGTGATAGGCAGAGTATCTTGCTTTCATTTTCCACCCACTTTACAAGGTGGGAAGTAGAGACCAGTGCTATGTAAAGGCCTTAATGACCTGCCTTTCAAAGCTTGCTGTCACTTACTTGCGGTGTAACTTTCATAAAATTAATTTGCATGGGCAGTTTCAGACTCCTAATCTCTAACATGAGAATAATAGCATCTCATTAGGTTGCAAGAACATAATGAGAAGATTCATGTAATATAACCAGCACAGAACCATGGGGTATACAAAAATAATAAATGTTCACTCCTGTCCTTAATAACCACAAATTCCTGAGCCCTGCAGGCCTGACACTGTGCTAATACTCATGACAGTCCTGCCGGGTAGGTGCCTCTAGTTTATCTCACAGATGAGGAAACAGGTCCAGAGGGGCGAAGAAATTATACTCAATCACAAGACAGGCACATTCTGAGCCTTGATGTCCACAAGGTCTGTCTGCCTTTGAAACTGATGTTCTCTGTTGTTTCATCAGTGTTTTTCAAACCACATAGGGGTCTTGGCCATTTCCTTAGGTATCTACATGTTCCTGAGAATCTGTTCCAATTTTTTATTTTAATTTACATTTACATACACAGATTCACAGCTGTAAAAGCATACACTGTTGTAGAGATAATTTACAATTAAAAGGTATTTTTAAAGGTTAATATTTTGATTATTTTAGTGTCTCTTAGACTGGAGTTGACAGACTTACCCTCATCAATCCATGAAAAATTTTACATTTAAAAGAGCTCATACTGCCTCTTCCTTTTTTTCCCCTTCCAGTCCTCCATTCTTTCAGTCATGGACATTGGTCACAACATGAACCCTAATCCCCCATAAAAACATTGTACATTTCTTAACATAACTGAAACATACCTGGATCAAGGGGTTGAAGAGACCATCCTTTAAACATATCATGTATTTTCGAATTCACAGGTCTGTTTTTCCCAGCAAGGTTTTTCACATGAGCCTTTTTGTCCTCTGAGCCTGGCACTTTCATGCAGTAATCCAGAAAACCATTTGATCTCATTATCTCTGTATAGCCCTTCTCACAACCACAGACTCCACCCTACAGCAAAAAAAATATATTTTTGTGGTTACACATTGAGTTGTGTAGGTGACCAATTTATTGGAATCACTTAATATTTGCATATGTCATGGCAATTTGGGGTTTTTCAGCAAACAGACGTGCCAAAAAGATGAAAATCCAATAAGTAATTTATCTTTCTGAACTCTCAATCGGTAAACAAATCATCAGCTTTTTCTAGTGCTTTACAATTCTTACATCTTCCAAGTATGAAATTACAGTTTATCAAGGGGGGGTATTAACTACACGCTTTTCTCTATCATAGAGATTTTTAAGGCATTTAATCAAATTATCCTCAACTTTTCCCACCAGCTGTTTCAGGTTCCTGCCCACTCACTCCAACCTACCCTGGGTAGTGAGAGGCAAAGCAATGGAATTAATTACATATTTCCTTTGAGTTATGTGCTCTTTGAGCTCTGTGGCTGCCCCAGCAGCTGAATGTCTCACCTGCTACTATTGATCAATAACTCGTCTGAACTACCTCTTTACTTGTAGGCTTAGTTCTGCACTCCAAGAGGGAAGCCCAAGGGGAGAAAAAAGAAAATTTCACCAAAGGCACATGTGTATGAAAAGAGACCTATTTAAGGAACATGACACAACTCTCTGAAAATTTATACATGTGAACACACATATATAATTTTTATCCATAGGCACTTAAGTTAAAATGAACTAAACATCAAAGAATATTTATATACAACCCATGGACATGGACAACAATAAAGGGACTGGTTTGGGATGGGGAGAAGGTGGGGCTGGGATGAGGTGGGGAAAGGGAGAAAAATGGGAACAACTGTAACAGCATAAACAATAAAAATTAAATTAAAGCAATGAAAACAATAAAAACATACTACAATATTTATAATATAATCGATTTTACTAAATTATATTTAGCAAATATGAATATGCATTTATAATAACTTTCAAAATAATTTAGGTAGATGAAAGGCTAAGAATCAAAGAATAAATCAATGGAGAACAGTTATTGATAAATAGAGAATATAAATGAGAAAAACAGATTTGCCTATAGACAGATTTATAGAAAAAAGACTGCTTGCCTTAACACATGCGCCTGCAAAAAAGACTCCGAATAGTTGTGATTACTCCTGCAAATGCCTCTAGATGGTATCGTGGGCACATGGAACTGCTGTTTGACTCTAGCAGACTGGAAAGCATCCAACAGTGTATGTATAACACAGCAATTAAAATACTTATAGAAGCCTCCAGCGCACGACTCACCTGTGTACAGTAGGAGAAAGGTTTTCTGCATGCTGGATTACACTGTCTAATAGCAGCAGGACGTGCCTGAGGGGAGCAGCCTCCTACAAAGGAAACCCCACCATCATTTGCAGATTTTTCTGTGATAAACATTAAAAACATTTTTCCCTTCCAGGCACTGGCCACTTTGTAACAGTTATTATTATTTTTTTTTTATAAATCCATTTGCTGACATGTGGCCCAGTCTTATTTTATTGATTATTCCAGGATGGATTGTTTGAGATGGGAGGCTCTGCTAACAGAAGCTACTTATAATAGATTCTTTATACCTGCTCACTGGCAATATGGTTCTGTCATATGGCTATGCTTGAGGGTAAAGTCTTTGAGTGTCAGCATCAGTAAGAGAATTGGTGAAATCTCAATTTAAGTTCAGGAACATAAAATATATCTGCCTGAGACTTAGTCTACATGTATTTTTCTCCAGTTCTGGAATACCCCAATTTGACACTAGGTTAATCCCCAACAATAAAATGCTAAAAGAAGGACACTGTCAATTAATGGGCCCAGGATATCAAACACTTTGGTAACATTTTAAAACATATTTCAATCAGGATACAGGCACATACACACACCCTTTGACTCCCACACATATTTTTTTAAGAGCAAATGTACACGCTTCATTAGGGGCAATCAAACATCTGACACGGTCCTTGATACAACATTCGTTAAATGTTTTTGAGGAAGAGAAGGGAACAATGCATGCTTCTATAACCTGAAAATCACGTATGTATTAGCCTTGCCTTCCTAAATTCTGAGTACTTAACAAAGAAGTCACATACTCTCCGACAGCAATATTTAAACTTTATTTATAACGCTGGTTGCATTTATACTGTAGCCTTTGCCTTACTATAATCGTCAACCAGTTATAGTTTGATTTTATAGCTATCAAAAAGCTTTAGGCTATGTTAGTCACATCTACACTTTCCCTAAAAATGAAGCAGCTAAATCCTCAGTTACTTAGAAAATAATTCACACAAAAAAATTTAAAAAAACCCCACACTCCAGGCTTAGCACTTTGGTGTGAAGTTATTAATTTGGGGCATGGGTGGCAAATAACCACACAGTTCTGTTGCTATCAACTGTGTTCAGAGGGACTTTCTCACTCTTTAAACCAGCGATGTCCAAAGTGTAGTGTGTGGATCCTTGCAGGAGGGGATCTTGTGAGGACTAAGAAGAAAATATTTGAATTTATATAGTTTATACAACATTTTTGTTTATATTTTAGAAATGTAATTAAGCTCTAATAACACTCAGCAACCTGAGCATATGCATCAGATGTCCACATGCACTTTGTGCATGAGGTCCTCGTGTAGAGAACTGGGGAGCACAACCCGCACCACTTTAACTCTCAGCTTATTGCACGGTATGTGTGATGCTTTCTGAGTTCTGGTCAGATTAATTTACAAATACATTTAGTTTTAACAATAACTTATACAATGTACAGGTAGCTTAAAGTAAATTATTGTATGAGTGAACTATAGAGTAAATGCAATACCGACAATGCAAAAACAAATATACAAGGAAAAGGCAGAGCTGACAATTCTATTCCCATGAAAGGATAGAAATTCTTCCTACAATAAGTTCTTTGTCAGTCTAGTACTAAGTAACAACAATGGCGATTTAATTATCTCTGATAAGAAGGCATAAAAATTCCCTTTAAAATAACTAAGACTACTTGTAGATCAAGTAGTCTTAACCATTGTCATGAGGAACACTTCCCTTAGTCTACATTTAGATATTAAATAATAATCAATACTATCACAATTTAAGAACTAAATATAATAAGATAATGAATATAAGCATGCAAATTTGCAGCAAAATTTTTTGCTCTATTAACAAATATAATATATTAAATTGTTGTATATCCTATTAAACCCTTTTATTTCAATTTCTGTATGTTTCATAATATAATATATAAGCATGTAATATGATATATAAGCATATGATATGTTGAAATAAGTCCTCAAACATATTTTACTAAGAAAGTACATGATTTAAAATTTTAGAGACCATTGTTTTAAGCTAGCATCTGTCTTTTTCAGTCTTTGTCCCTGATCATAATATTTAAGAGAATTTTATTATATTTCAGCCTATTTTTTTACTTGCCTGATATATTATGGGTCTTCAAACAGAATTGTCTGCTTTCTGAGATGCGAAGGTCTAATGACAATTTGAAAAGAAGATCATCTAAGGTCAATGTCCAGTCTTTCTATGCTTATAGATTGTAAGCTAATTCTCCTCACAAACAGTAACACTCAGAAATCTTTTGGAAGTACCCACATGAACCTTAGGTAGGAATACCTGTGACGTTAATGCCATCTGAACGTTGGCACCATACAGTCCGTTCATTATTGTTCCAAAGACTTGCTTTCCATGTGTAGTGATAACATTTGCCTCCTGCAAGCAAATATGATAACAGCAGTGCTATTGTACCTGACATAAAAAAATAAGCTTAATCAATCAAAGCTGAGAATGGAAAAGTGCTCTTGGTACCTGTACAAGGACGTGTTTCTAGAACCTGCTGGGGACAGCTGTCTTGGTTTTCAAAAGACTGAATTATAAATGTCCTTGACCGAGATTGGCGGCCCATTGTCTCGAAGCTTCTTCCGTCGATGCAGGTTAATTCACATGTGCTCCACTCTGACCATTCCGTTAAATGGCAGTCTCCTAGGCGATTGTGCAGTACAAAGTGGGGGAAACAACACGGAAGCCAGTACTTGACAACATTTACACGGACACGTTCACAGTGAGATTTGTGGTGGTGGCAGTGCAGTGATGGAGTGTGTTCCAGGCACCACACATTGTACTTTGACCAATGTTCCAGTTAGAAAGTACGAAGAATGATTAATCAATTTGTGATTCAATAAAGGTTAGGAAGAGAGTGCCAAAACTAGATTGGCCTTACTTTGCTTCAAATCACAGTCATATTTACAGAATACTATGTGTCTGCTAACAATAATAAACTTTTTATAAAGGAAAATGTAAAGGTTAAAGTAACTAAGTTTTCAAGGAGCAGCATAACATCGTAAAATTGATGTTCACAGAAACAATATAAAGAGAATAAGTTGGTCATTAAAGTGAATATTTTTGAGCCTAAAGAATGTTGAGTTTAATAAACTAAACGTACATGCACTTTTGTGTGTGTATATGTATATATGTATGTATATGTGCTTATATACATGCACATATGTTTTACATGCCATACTCTAAAGGATATATTATGCCACTTTCAACTTATGCCATATACCCTAAGTTATTAGAATTAAACTCATATATTTTATGTAACTAAAAATGACCTTCATAGACACAATGACATAGAACACAACCATCTGACAAAGTGCCTTCATAAACATACAGCCTTACTTGTTCCAACCATGCCATTCCCAAGAGGTTCATCCACTCATGGATTCAGTTAACATTTTTTGAGTGCAGGCCAATGTGCTAGATGCTGTCAGGTCGGGCATTACTAACACATTTTCTATGCCCCAGGTAAAACACCAGGGAAGTGAGAGACAAGATTCTAACCTAGCTGTTAAATTTCCACATCCGGTGTTTTTTTTTCCTCTAACCTACACTGCCTCCACTGAAGCTGTTAGGTACATTTCAAAGTTATAACCACAATTAAAAGTCAGTTAAAGTTAGTTGAAAAGTTCAATTTTGATGAGATAGAGCTTCAGAAAAAACATAAATCTTTTAAATAAAAGATAAATCTTATTTAATAAATAAGTAAATAAGATCACCATGGAAGGCACTCCCAACTGTTTAAAATTGCATACCAGGGCAGGGCACAGAACACAGCTGCTTCAGGAGGGCATCCTGAAAGGGCATTTCTTTACACTGTGCGTCATCTACACGAACAGCAGAAGTAGAGATTGAACCATTGTGGACTACACAGGAAAGGCTGCGGATCTGGACTCCTTCCCCACAGTCTCCACCCTGTGAGAGGAAAGGATACTGTCAGAATTACCCAAATAATTAGTATCTTAGAGCTTTGGTTCCTGCTATCTCTTGCTTTAAAACAAACAACAAAAAAAAAAAGGCAAACCCTCCTAGTTGTATATTTCAGCAGCTTCCTCCTCTTGGGAGTTCCCTTTCAACTGCTGCCAATAAAGTATCACTAAGCAATTCTTCAAGAGCTAATGGAGAAGCTGAAGAAAAATGCAAATTTATGCCATGAAATTTCTGTTCTCAGAATATGACCATTCATTTTGGAACCCAGCCAGAATTGACTGAAAAAGGAAAACAATACATAATTTGTCTAGGTGTATGTGATAAAATGGCCTAAACTATAATCACTCTCCCAGAAGAACATGCACAGCCACAGGACATACATTTCTTTTGTACTTTGCTTGTGTTTCCCTTGTAGGGAGCTCAGCACTTTCTCATATGGATTAGGCTGGGATTTCCAGTGAAACACTGGTTTTCTCTATTGTCATGAGTTGATTTCCTGGCATGTATTTTGTCATGAATAATGTTCTTTGAAGATGTTTACAAATAGCACTCAGATTATTCTTGGCAATTAGAAAAACAATTGTACAATGTCTGTCAGAAACAGAGGCTTAGAAATGAAAGGCCCTTAGTGGTTATCTGGCCCAAGCGTTTGCCTGATATAAGGTTTCCTATTATGCATTTTTGTCAGATATTCATGAGATGAGTGTCCTTTCTTCAATTTTAGTCAGGTGTTTGTACTTCAAAAAGAAGTCCATTGGCTATTTTGATAACTTTAGATGATAGCTCTCTTTTTGCACAAATACCTTAAAAGACAGCCTCAGGCAAGCTTTTCTGCTAAGGAGGTAAAATCCCTCCTGGCAAGAGTGAGGGTAAAAGAAATAAATCAGGAACAAAAGGAAAGTGAATAAAAGGTAGTGTTACTAAGCTGGCTTCAACTTCAAAGTCAACACAGTTGCTTTCTTAGTCACCTAACACCTTCAGACAGGCCACATGGTATCACTGTGCCTCAGTGCCATCCATAATGGGGCCAGGCAGGAAGAAGGGAGAGGCATTTAAATGCCAGCTCCTCCCTGGATCCACTTCTCATTGATCAACCTTCATCCCAGGGAGTATTAACTGCTCTGTGCTTCCAAGGTGTGCTACTCAGTATCTAATAAGTCCAGAAGTTGGTGGAAGACCTAGAGCCTTTAGGACTAATGCTGGTATGGTTGAGGGGAGAGGGGAAGAGAGAGGGGGGAGGAAAGAACTAGTGTGCAAGCCTTTGCACCTCTGTTCCTGCAGGCAGGAATGCTATGTGCTACAACCCACTAATCCATTATTAGGTAACAATGTGGTAACTGTGTTTTGCACTGGGACACTGGATTTCACCTCCTTATTCCTTCTCCACTACTGGACTCAGAAACTGCATTGCCTAGGCCTTGGGCTACTGTGGCTCTTGCAGTGGCAGGAGTCAACAAGGTCAAGGGGGACAGTTAAAGCAGTCAGGACACTTTTCCAAGGATGTGGAACAGGTGATCCAGGGCTGACGGGCCTGCTGAGCACCAACCAGGTCAAGGCAGGAGCTACTTTGTGTCAGGGGCAGCTTGTAGATGGACCACTGGAGGTGCAGGATGGTATACAATGGCTGTTCAGAAAAATTCTTTATATGGGGAAGTCAGGATTCAAAGACACATTGGCAGAAGAGAAAAGGTGCAACATGGAGGAGGTCCAAATTGTAGGAACTGAAAGCCTCAGGAATCTGAGTAGGCACAGAAACCGGGACCATCACATCCTCTTCTAGAGATGTTTTAACAGGAATTATGATTCATTTACCTAAGATGGCAATTCCCACACTTGATTTATCAATAACCCGTAATTGCTCTAATCATTTATACAGCTGTTGTGAAATTGGCAAAAAATGCACCTTAATTTTGAATCTTAGTACTTTATTTGTAAGAAGAGAAGTGGAAGTTTAAAATCAGTTTACAGTAGATTCATCCAAGGCAAATTCTGTAGTAAATGTTTACTTCATGAAGTAGAAAATAACTAGTGTAATTTCATTTTGGGGGAGGATTTTCTCTTATAACTTATTATTCTACATGATGGGCCTAAGAATTGTCTAGGGTATATATTTTGTTATAGAGTATCAGACTTTGTGTACTTGGAAAGAAGAGCCTGAGGACCCAGCAGCATGTATGAAATTTGAAAACACTGCCATCTGGAACCTCAGTAACAGAAGGTGTAATTGAGTCGAGCTTTGTTTGACATTCCAGGAGATGGAGTATAAGGAAATGGCAGGAAACAAGCTTATGTTAGAGGTCACTTTAAAAACCAAAACAAACAATAATATGCTCTTAGTATGTATCAGCATTCAACCTTAATCTCTCATACCTTTGATGACAACAGCCACATATGAAGATAAATCAGCATCAGGATAATAATTTTATGCATAAAACAAGCATTTTCTCACTATCACTTCTGAGACTCTATACACTAGGGCCTGAAAACGGAGCCTGGCTTTTTAGAGCAAGATTGTCAACACCAAGGATTCTTTCAGTAACTCAGCACTGTCTAAATCATTAATGGACTTTTTGTATACTCTTAATTGCCATCACCAGATGTGGATAGGCAGATGGTGCTAATAGTCATAATTATAGTTTTAATTAAAATTATAATAGCCATTACAATTTATAAGCTCTTTTTTTTGCCGGGCACTATGCTAAGCACTGTTGAGGAGAAGGCAGAAGGGGTTAAGGAGGAGAGGAACGGGAAGGGTCTAGTCATGGAACAGGTGTAAATGTCCAATGGATGTGGACAACAGGGTGGGGATTGACGGTGGGAGTGGGGGATGGGCAGGGCAGGGGAGAGCAATGGGGGAAAATTGGGAAAACTGTAATAAAACAACAATAAAAAAGAGAATTGTCTACTACCTACCAAAAATCTCCAGTAAATTTATACTACCACTACTCCCATTATATAGGATTTAAAAACAGAGGTTTGGAAATTTTAGAAACTTTGCAAAAATTGTAGGGCTAAGAAATGGCAGATCACTGATCAAAATCAGGCCTGCTAAACTCCCAGAACCTAAGCTCCTAAAACAGATCAACCAACATATGTGTGGATACATGTTATCCCCTGAGGGACTTGAAAAGAAAGAATTAGGGGGAAAAAAGTGAAGACTGAGGATAAACACTTCCATTACTAATCTATTTCCATGTAAGATAAGGGCAAAATTGGCACATTAACAGTGCCCTGTTCAAGCTTCTCTTATTAGGGTTTAATACTTGATGGCAATCAGCCACTTCAATATCATCACCACTCTCAGTGAATGAGCAGGTTATATGCCTGCATTCAGTGGGTTAGTATAGGATAGAACAAGGAGAAGCAGAAGTGCAGTTGTGAGAGAGATGCTCTTTTCCCTTGCATGCAAAAGTCCATGTGTATTTTTATCAGTAATTCCAGAATCTCAGCTTACATATAAATCTAAGAAAAGGCAACCTGCTAAAAAGATACTGTGTTTTCTGTCTCACAAAAAGTTCACAATTAGGCTTTGGAAAAGCAGAAATGCAATTTGAACTCAGGAAAAAGTCAAATCAAATGTCATCATGACTCCCTTTCTTTTTGCCTCTGTTTTTCTTTGTGTTACCTTCTTTATTCTTTCTTGCTTTTGAGTGACTAGCAAGAAAGGTGGGACAATGTGGCAGCTAAAGACTTCCTGAATACAGTATCTTTGAACAGCTTTAATCCCATTCCAAATTCTTGGGGAAGAACTGAACGTGTCAGTTAGTGGGAATAACCTCATCTAGAAATCCAAGGAGCTTGGAAGATTCTGTATACTCCTGCTCTATGGTCTCTAGTGCCTCCACATCTGTGTGTTGCTAAAGGATGCCATAACCCCATATTTCTCACCACAGTGCTACAGAGAATGTTCACAACCCATCGCTCTTGCCCCTATGGTTCTGTCAAAAGCTCAATAGGTAACAATAAAATGAGACATTGCATTTGGCATTTCCCCATAATGTTCCTATGGGACAAGATGACAGACTTGTCTATTAAAAAAAAAAAAGTCTCCTGAACTGAGGAAGACAGAATGGAAAGTACAGGAGAACTAGTAAGGTATAGCAACAGTTGTTATGCCTGCCAACACCCAGAGCATGGAATGTGTCAGTCCTTCCTCCCTCCCTTCCTTCTTTCTAAATTTCTTTTCTCCCCTTCCCCTGCAGTGGGCTGCTGAATTCTTTGAGCTTATTCTCTCTACTCTGTGAACTTTTATTGCAATTATAAGGAGAAATATTCCTTTCATTTTCTTAATTGTGATTCCAAGCATTATTTAAAAGTTGCTAAAAGTGTAGGAAAGAAGATTTTAGACTAGTAGACAATGTATTCATATTTAAAGCTATTAGGATAGCATTGAATTACTTAGCATGGTTGCATTATTTTCTCTAAAAAGGAGACTGAACCAATGTGCCACACATTTTTCTTCCTCTGGGATTTATTGCAATACATGGGCATTTAACTTCTGCAAAATAATGCTGTAAGACAATGTCATCTGACAGGAACACCAAATATCTTTATGAGAATACTCTTCAGGTTTCTTAATGAATAATCAAAATTATTGTTACCTAATTAAAATAAGTTTTGGAATATGAACTGAAGAATAAAATAGTAAAGTAAGAAAATAGGGAAAAAAAATCAATGTGCTTTTTTCTATACAGGAAGCCAGGGAGAAAATGTAGTGGGAGATCTTTGCTGATCCAGCAAAAACTCTGGATATGTGATATATTATGATGTTTCTAGGCATTTATATTTCAGGCCAATAAAAAAGTAATCATTGAGGAAATTATAGGAACCTTGGTTTGTGTAATAATGTTAAAATATAACTTTCATACGCTTTTGGTTTTCTATCCATATGCAAGATTGTGTCTAAGCCTAAATGTGCCTCTTTAAGAAATACAGTCTACAGCAAGCTGTGCATTTCCATAGCATCAAGGTTTTGCCTAATTAAATAATATTTTGATATTTCTAACAAGTCAGGAAAATAACAGAATTCTTGAGGATGCCAAGGAGACTGACAGTCCCTATGAACCCCACTTACTATAATCAGTGCCTAATGAATAGCTATGTATATTCCTAGCAGTATAACTCCACTTGAGGTTAAATAATTGGATTATATCTTCCCATGTACCCAATTGCATAAATATGCATTGTGCCAGGCCCCTGCTGCTGCAAAATTTATTCCATCGGCACATAGGTTTGACTGGACAAGTGCTTTGGACATACTGAGAATGATTTCTCTAAATGTCATTACATGACCTACCTCCAATTTACATGCAGACCAGTTGCTGAGGACCCAGCTGTAGCAGGGGGTCACTGGGCAGGGTTTCTGCTGAGAAAGCTCTGTGGGGCATGGCCGTCCTTCCCCTTGGGTTGGCAGCATGATAAATCGAGTCCGGCTCATTCGACCTAAAATATTAAGGAAGATGTGAGCTTTTCAGGTAGAATTTGGCTTAGAACGGGAATTAAAGGACAGAATGTTGCCTTATATATGTAAGTCTTCAATAAAATACACTGAACTTTATCATGTTGAGCTTTCAATTTTCCTAGTATTTTAATTTAGTTTTTCTAGAGAGGTTATCTAAGGTCTGCATAATGCTTAGGATCTAAAATTCTGTCTTCTACTTCTTTAGTGTTTCCAAGTACAAGCTATGTATTGTTGCCAAATAGACTGATCATGTAACCATTGGCATAATATTAATTCATTCAACAAATATGCATCTGTTAAGCTGTAGTATCACCCAGGCGTCCTGCTATGTGTTATGGATACAGCAATGCAATTGCCAGGCATATCTTTGGCCATCATGGAACTTATACTTCAGACCAGGATTACAAGTATTAAAAATAGAGACTGTTGCACCTTCTTTACTGTTAGGTTATAAGTTAGCAAATAAGTTAAAAATTACACACAATCTAAATTACCCTAGAAAATTCCTTAGGAAGGTGCTACTCCAAGGTACCAATAGATTTTCTCAATTATTTCAACATGTCTAATTTTCCTCCATTTTAAACCATTTTTTTTTCACTGAGCACAAGATAAAGTTTTTGCCTTATGTGCAGGAGCCATGATGTTTAAAAGACATATTCAAATTCTAGTATTCCATAATGAAATATAATTGGTTAATAAGAATAACAGGAAAGAGCATGTCTCCCATGTCAACTCATGCCCGTACCTATATGCATTAGGTCACAAGCTTATCAAGTGCAATAGTGGATGGAATTTAAGTGTCTGTGTTTCACTCTCTTGATATTTCTCTCACTCACTCTTTCCTTTACTCTTCTCTTACTGCTAAGGTACTATGTGTATATAGTTTCACTACTATTATATCTGTGGATATAATGTCCTCCCACTGATGATATAGATCATTTATATAATTGTATTTGTGATAAAATATTCAAGGAAAAACCAGGGCTCTATTAAAGAATGTTATACGGATGCTTCCCATTCTGGGTTGGAATCAGAAAACATTTCCTTGAGCAGTTGAACTTTAAGCAGGAATCTTAACTTGGTGCAAGCCAAGCATAGTATAGAGAGTATGTCCCATAGTATACAGAGTATGTCCCAGAAGAAAGCATGTCTTTCTTCTATTCACTATGGAGGAGGTCATGAAATGAAAAGAAGTAAAACATTTTTGAGGACCTGACAGAAAGCCAATGCAACTGGAACAGAGAGAGTCAGGGAAAGAATAGGATGAGGATTGCTAATGCTATTAAAAGCAGGGTCTTTTAGTCAATTCCAAAGGTTCTACATTTATATCTTAACTGGAAAGCTAGTGATGACTTGATTCATATGTAGGATCCAGGCTTTGGGTAGGAATAATTCTCAGATGCTCTCAAGTTTAGAGACAAGCAAGGGTGACTCACACTTTCAGTGCACTAGATATCTTACTGGCCACCAGAATGTTATCATAGATTTGGTAGTAAACTAATACTCTCTGAGAAGATCCTCGAAGAAAACCAGGAAGTTTTAACCACTGACTTCTAAATTCCTTGAGGTTTGGGCTTCTGTCCCTACTGTGGTGTTTCATATATGTTAAGCACTAATTAAATATTTGTTTAATTCATATATTCATAAATTATCTACATTATATTATCTGGTATCAGCTAACATGTAATAACATAATAATACCAATACAATTATTAAGCAGGTACCATATACTAGGCAATATTCATAACAACCCTAGAGGAAAATTCTATTATATTCCTAGAGATGAGGAAACTGAGACGCAGAGAGATTAAGTCACTTATGTAAGGTAAAAAAAAACTTGTAAGTTGAAGAATAAAATTTACACTCAGAAACTTTTGATCCAGAGGAAGCTACATTAGTCATGATGCTGGGTTGATAGATATAGGCAAGACAGCAAGGATAGTACCCCAAAGGTATAAAAGAAACTAGATGATGGTAAAAATTTTTTCAGAGATAATGTGGGTTTGGTGAACAATAGGGTCTACCCATTCTGCATCCTTGGGAACTAAGTGTTTATAGATAGATGTTCTTCCCAGTATCACTCAAATCATATAAATTGGACATCACCTCATTCTTATGAACACATTTGGCTCAAGATTTTATGTTAATTATTGTATACCTACTCTTCAGTATTATAATAATCTTTATGTTTATTTACCTGATCTAAATATCCATTATCTTAATGTAATTATAATTGCATTTTGTCCTAAATCTGCTTTTGTAAGAATAATGACAATGCAGTATTGCCTTTATCACAGTTATAGAGGCTCTATTTAATTATAATCAAATAACTTCAAGGAGAATCAAGATGGTGGAGGAGTGAGTGGAAGTCACACTGACCTCCACCCAGGACCAATCTGGAAATACAACTAAATTGTGCAGAAGTCACCTGGAACAAACAACTGAACAATAGCGAGAGAGGAAACTTATAACCTCGGACAGACTGAAGAATCAGCTTTAGCACAACTTGACTGGTAAGGAATGAGGTAAAGACTCATGAAGGTGGGCTGGGCACCCCAGGGTAGCAGCACCAGAGGGATATAGAAGTGGCCAGTTGGACGCCCTGAGAAGAGTGGGGTCTAAACCATAAGTGGGGATCTCCAGCCTACAGCACCAGAGCACAAAAAGTACACAGACAACAGCCAGCTGCAAAAAACGTCTGGGTTGCTTTCTGCCAGAGATAGGCGGCTGGAGACTCAAAGATTCATTTAAAGAGCAATACATAAAGTTTTAGTTGCAGCCACTTACCCTGGTCTCTGGCAAAGGCAGGGGCAGAGTGGGCTGGAGACACCTCAGGAGAGACTGGGAAAGGAGGCTTTGGGGAGAAAACTGAGAGAGTAGCCAGCGGGATCCAGGTGCTGACTCATTCCCCCATGTGGCAGCAGCCATATTCCTCAGGCAGACCACACCCCTGAGTGGCAACAGTGTGAGAGGACACAATAGTTCCGCTCCCAGGAGCGGCTCAGCCCTGCTGAGTACAGAGTGGCAGCCACAAGTAGTAGATCCCTGGCCAAAGGGGGCGCACAGTGGTCTAGAGACTCTTGAGGAGAGACTGGAGATGAATGCTTTGGGGAGAAAACAGGGAGAATAGCTGGCAGGATCCTGGTGCTGACTCCACCAAAAAGCAGCAGCCATATTCTTCAAGCAGACCACTCCCCCGAGTGGCAGCAGCATGGGAGGACCCAATAGCCCAGGCATCAGGAGAGACTCTGCCCCTCCCTATGGTGTCTCTAAGCCGGCCTGCTGTGTGTATAGTGAATAGATTAGCAGCTGAAGGAGACAGCCACAGACAGTAGGTTCTTGGAAGTCTTGAACAGACTGCCTAAGGTCACACAGGGTCAACAACTGACATCATCAGAGACAGATCCAGTGGCGGGGGGGCGGGGTGGAGAAACAGCAGTCTCCTACCAAAGAAGTTCACACGACAAAGTCAGGAAATCAAGACAGATAAACTTAAGAAGCAGAAGCCAAAAAGAAGAGTCTCACAAATAGTGGGATGACAAAGAAACATGCCCCAATTGAAGGGAAAGGAAGAACCCCAGAAAAAGAACTCAATGAAAAAGAGGTAAGTAAACTAGCAGATATGGAGTTCCAAAAAACGGTTCTAAGGAAGTTCAATGAGCTTAGTGTGGTCATTGAGAATTACAAAAAAGTATAGGGAAAGTAAGAGGAACTTACTGTAAAATATATCAGCATGAAAAAGGACATAGAAACTATCAATAAGAGACAAGAGGAAATGAAGAAGACAATTTCTGAATTGAAGAACACAGCAGAAGGAATCAAAACAGGCTGGACAAAGCTGAGGATCAAATCAGTGAGCTGGAGGACAAGGTAGAAAAAAGCTCCCAGAAAGAGCAAGAAAATGAAAAAGACTCAAAAAGAATGAAAAGGCATTTAGGACAACTTGAAATGTAATAATATATGTATAGCAGGGATACCAGAAGGAGAAGAAGATGAGCAAGGGATAGAGAATCTGTTTGAAAAAGTAATGATGAAAAACTTCCCTATTTTGAGGAGAGAAAAAGTCACACAAGTCCAGGAAGCACAGAGAGTCCCATTCAAGAGGAAGCCAAAGAGGCCCACTCCAAGATACATCATAGTTAAAATGGCAAATAGCAAAGATAAACAGAGAATCCTAAAGGCAGCGAAGGAGAAACAGGTAGTAACATACAAGGGAGCCCTGATACAAGGCTAGCAGCTGACTTCTCAACAGAATCACTACAAGCCAGAAGGGAATGGCAAGAAATATTCCAAGTAATGGAAAGCAAAGATCTGCAACCAAGACTGCTCTACCCAGCAAGGCTCTCCATTCAAATGGAAGGCGAAATAAGGAGTTTCCCAGACAAAAGAAGGCTAGGAGAATACACCTCCACAAAACCAGCATTACAAAATATGCTAAAGAGGCTGCTTTAAAAAGATGAAGTAAAATAGTCTATGAATACCCAGTTCGTTTCACAGTCACCAATACTTGATATTACTAAAATGTTTAATACTTAATCTGATTGTGACCATGATGTGTTATTTAATTGTTACTTTATTATTTGTTCAACTTTATTATTTGTTGAAACTAAGTCTATTTTTGTAGATTTCTTGCCTATTTCTATTTTAAAAAAACTTTAAGTGATTTTTTGGTAGTCTTTATCCATTTTTTGATTAAATGTTTGTAGAATTGTTTCCCTAAAAAAATAAAATTATAAATCCTATTCTAGATGTGTGCAAATACTTTCCTATTCTATTATTTGTCCTTTAACTATTTTTATGTGTGTATTACTATATAGTCTTAAATGTTTAATATGTTCATATTGGCAATATCTTACTTTATAGCTTCTGGGTTTGAATATGTTACTTCAGGGTAAGAAAAATATTATTTTGTATTTTCTCCTAAAACTCCTTAGATTTTACATATCGATTTCTAACTCACCTGAATACTTTTTGTATAATG